AAAATTAATTCGTTTATTCTTTTTGCTAGTTGAAAATGGACATTATTATGTTTTTGTGGACCTTATATTTATTTTTGTGGACTTGTATTGTATCTTTATCATAAAGTATTATCCTAAAACGTCAAAATGACGAATAAAAAACTATGTTTTAGTTTATTGTGATTTTACTTTTATTTTGTTGTTATTTGAATTTATAGTAAATATATTTAGTTTGTTTTAGATTTATTTATAGTAAGATATAAATATATATTGAATTAATGGCATAAAAGTAGATACTAGACAGGGAAAAAATATACGCGAAACTGGCAGTTTAAAACCGGACCAAACCGTTAGGTTTAGGTTTGAATTTTTTTCAAACCGGTCAAAACGGTTTGATTTAGGTTTGAGTTTTTCTCAAACCGGTCAAAACGATTTGGTTTGAAAATTTGTCAAAAATCGCAAAAACTGGACCGCTTACACCCCCTAGTTGATAGGTTCTTAAGAGCAATGACCTTCTAATCGGAGTCACTATTTTTTATATTAGCTTTCAAGATCCCGATTCTAGAAGAATTGCATTTGATACCCCGGAATATCCGGGTCGTTTTCAATGTGGCGTTAAAGGAAAATGAGAGTGTGATTTTGATTTTGAAAAATGTATGGTATGGAATGATTCCGATGGATTGCCAAAAATTTTTACGATGTTACGAACAAATAACTAATGAGATTGGATTTTAGGTTGTCGTTTGTATATTTAGCATTTCTTTATGGTTTAAACTAAGTTAATGGCCGTAATTGTGCATTGCCTTCAACATTCGTGTTACTGTTATTGATGAATTTACTACACTTCATAATGAATGGATTGAATATAAGTTATACAACATAACTACCTCCTTTACTTTTGTAAATGCTTCTTGCTATAAAATTTTAATCTAAAAGATATTATAATCCGTCAAAGCATATCTAGAAAATTTTCAAATATATTCAATTGTACTTCTTAATCTTAAGACTCTGTTTGTTTCACATTATTTTAGGTTCAAAATGAATAATTTGACCATTTTTTCCAAAAAAATTGAGTCCCACTATGAGACGGGGTGGTCAAAGATTGCGATTGATCCATTTTGCAACGGTAAAAATTCTTCTACAAATGAGATACAAACAAGGTGTAAAAGTAGATTTTGACTTTCTAGAGAAGACGTATCAGAGGACCCTAAATATGGTTTCGTTCATTCATAAAAAGAATTATAGTCAAATAGCATTGATGTTTCTCATTAATTTAAATCATGAGTTTTTTCGTGATTTATGACATAATATTCAGTAAATCAAGTAAGGGTGGGCACTTTTTGGGAACTGGATAGAATTGGTCGATTCGGCTATGCTTTCTAAATAGGCCAATTTTAGGACCATGCAACAAAAAACGATCAATTCCGATACAATTCTCAATGCTGCCTTAAGAATCAATAGTAAATTTGATTCTCCATAACTTCTCTTTTTACTGGTATATTGCACTAAGATGCTCTAGATATTTGAATACTATACCTTAAAATTATCTCACACGAAAATTTCATTTTTCAAACACTTCAGCAAAATCTAATGGGTAATATCATCTAAATCTAAAAATTTTATAAATATTTACAAATTCATAACTTTAATTCAACACCAATATAAAAAATAATATTTTTTTTCACAAGAACTAAAACTTCAAGTTGCTTTCAAAATGACCAATCATTCTTCACCTCAAGATTATTGAAGATAATCAGGTTATAAATACTACATTCATTTTTTAATAATATATTATTTATGAATTTTCTTAAGAATTAATATTTTATTCAAATTTTACATTTATATTATGTTAACTAATTTATACTTTTTACATACTTATTAGTTGATCTTGAGTCTTGGAGTTGATTTATTCATGTTTGTTGCCTTGCTTAATTTTTATTTTTTTTATATTGTTAGATTATAACAATGATAAGTAGTTTCATACTCCATTTTATCTATTTTCAATCTGATAAGTAATTTTATACTTTAAATAAAAATTTTGATATAAAAAGCGGACAAAATAAAAATCGATTGGTTCTATTCTTGTCTGATTATATAGTTGGATATGAAACTAATGTTCATTTTTAAGATTTTCATTAATACTTTGTTCAATTCAGTTACTTTTGAAATTGGACCGAATCGAACCACACCCACTTTTAAAATCGAGAAAAGACTTCTAGCATTTATTTTTACTAATATTGCAAGTAAAGAAAATAAAAAGTGACCATTATGAAACTCATAAGAGTCCATTATTAAAAAGGAATACTTATAAGTAAACCAAAATAATGCTTTTCTTTCTCTACACCAAAAATAAGTATTGAGTAAGTTAATAATATTTATAAACTTCATATAATGTGTAATTAAATTTAATATTTGACTTTATAATTTTTTCTATGAAAGCTAGAATTTGACTATTTTTTTGTTTCACTATTATTTTTTGAGCCGTGCTACAGTGTCCGCGTGGGTGATCGCGGGGATGACTGCGCGCACACACGTGGGGAATCGGGATTATTTTATTCACATGAGACCCGCGCCTCGGCTGTGAGTGTGCGGTCATCCTCGCTGTCACCGGCGCGGGTCGTTTAGCATTTTTCTTATTTTTTTTCTAAAAAGTAAAGCTTCACATTTTAAACAAATATAAAGAAATAGAAAATAAGAGTAATTAACGTATTATTGTTGTATTAAGGTTGGTTAGTGAAAGAGGAGAGAAAGGTTAAGGGAACGGAAAGAGATGGGAACGAGAGAGAAAGATAGAGATCTTGAACGTCTTGTACCATTGCCTGTGGGAAGCTTATCAATCTCAGAAAATGGCTGTTCCAAATCTTCCTTTCCTTCTGATTCTGTATCCGCCGCCTCCCTCTCGCATCACTCCGGCAAGGAGGTCATAATTCCTCCTCCTTTTCCTATTCAATGCATGCACGTAAATTAAATCTATAATATATTATTATATTGTTGATTCATATGTATACGATCATCGCTTGAATTGAATGGGAATAAAGTAACGAAGGATTCCTGATTAAGCGTTGGGTTCAATTTAAGAGCTGCGTTTACGGTTCACTTTTTTACTGCTATTCGTTTCCTTTCTACTGAAGCGGTTTCTATTGGAATTATTTTAAAGCAAGATAAAAAGAATGCGAATGTAAATTAGATATAATGCACGGAAATTGGTTGACGGTAATTTGTGAATTACTGCGAAAATTTGTAAATTTTATAACAATTTTGGAACGATTCCGATTTTGGAAGATGTATTTGCTATGTTTGTTTTAAGTCACTGTTGAATTTATCATGTATAATGAAGGATTGGTATAAGGTGACTTGAGAGTTTTCCGCATTGCAGGCATTTTGCAAAGTGATTCGTAGTTGGGCTTCGAAAAAGTTCATGACAGGATGGTTAGTTTTCATGCTTTTCCCATTATTATATGCATATCAAGTCATGATCTAAACTACAATTATTGTTGCAAAGAAATTAGCATTGTTCTTATGTGCAGAAACATAATCCTTTTCATTCGTTGATTGATGTTATTTTTCCCGGGTTGTCCCTCGGAAGTCAAATTAAGTTAGCTAACTTTTTGTAATCAAACTTATCATGTGCCTAGGTGGGGGTTTGTCCGGCCCTGATCATAGATTCGATATAAGAGAGTACACAACGAGGGGGGACTTATCACCTCCCCTCCAAAATTACATGAGAACACTATAAACATGGAAGTACTACCTCCGTTACAATGAGCTATTATAAAGTTAAATATAAAACTTAGAATGGGAGGTACTACCGCAATTACAAGCAAAAACTAGTATTTTAATAAAAGATTGTCACTTCATATCCTGTAGTAAACATATTCTCTTAACAATGTACTTAGCTGCGGATTTATTTGTTTCACTTTATGTAAACTCATGCAGCTGGTGAATTGAATATTAAATGGACAGACGAAGACAACAAACATTGCCGAGCAGAAGCATTAATTATAATTGACTTGCTAAGCTAAACAATCATCAATCTACTATATTTACGTCCAATGTTTAATGAGGAAAAAGGTTCAGAAATGGGAAGTTAACAATGAATTTGAAAGTTGGCCAGCATTTTGGGGAGTTGATTATAAACAGTTTAGACTATAAATAGTTAATAATGAGTGGTGTATAAGTGAATAGTACTTGTGGATCCCTCAAAATGTATGGATAAAAGTTGTTTGAGTGTTTATAACAATTTATAAACACAAGTCAAACATAGGCCGGTGATGCATCATTGGCTAATATGTACAGTAAAAGAACTATGAGTATTTTATTGTCAAATACATTATATAAATGCTTGTTGAGATGAGATCTTTAATTTTGTCTCGGTCTTCTTTTTCCTTTTCTTTTGCACAGGGTGGGTGGCGTGGGGTGGTTGTTCTTGGAATTATTTCTCTTTCCTCGTATACTGGTAACATCCTTTAAAACATGATTTGACATTTTTTGCAGTGTCATCTTACTTCCCATAGCCATCACATTCTATACCACTTGGTGGTTCATTCATTTCGTGGATGGATTTTTCTCCCCGATCTATTCTCATTTGGGAATAACAACTTTCGGTAAGTTTGGTTATATGAAGGCTACAATCTAATGCTAGGTTTCATGCGTTACGGTATTTTTAAAACATGTCTGAAGCGTCATTTAAATTGCCATAGGGAACAATAAGCAAACACATCCTTACAGTTGAATTTCCACAAGTGGATATTGTTTCTCCTATTTCTGAGTATTCTGCCAATCAGTATTGATTATCAGCTTGTTAATTACTCATTTCATATGCAAAGAAAAATGAACTTGTCATATTTTTCGATGTAGATGCGATAGATTCTGCTTGATTTAGAAATAACTATATAGTTGAGAAAATTTGTCCTTTTTTTGTGCTCTCTTAGGAACTTCTATTGTTGTGTCACTTTGTATATATTAACATAGTGTCTGCTTCTAATTTTGGAAAGTTATTTCTAACAGGACTTGGTTTTATAACCTCTATTACTTTCATTTTCTTGGTTGGAGTATTCATGTCCTCGTGGTTGGGTGCCTCTCTTCTCGGATTGGGAGAATGGCTTATAAGAAAAATGCCGATTATGAGCTATATCTATGCTGCTTCAAAACAAATTAGTGCAGCAATTTCTCCAGGTTCTATTTACTATGAGCTACAAATTCTATTATTTTCAGTGCCTATTGATGATCAAAATATCAATCACTTGTCCAGACGAGAATTCTCACGCCTTCAAGGAAGTGGCCATTGTAAGGCACCCCCGTATTGGAGAATATGCATTTGGCTTCATCACATCGACTGTTATTCTCCGTAAAAATTCAGGTGCTGAGGAGCTCTGTTGTGTCTATTTGCCCACCAACCACCTTTATCTTGGAGATATATTTCTCATTAATTCAAAGGATATCATGAGGCCTAATCTATCCGTTCGAGAAGGCATAGGTAAGAACGTCGGTCAGACTAATCACGTTTAGACTTGTTTTGCTACATGTTTACATGTGCTAAAAAGCGAGTTAGAATTATTTTTTAAGTTGCGTATTCTACATACATGATTTTCAAAGTAACTTTTATTCACAAAACCTATTTTTCTATTTAAGCAAAGCCAAACATGCTCTTAACAATACTATTTTCACTTTCTTTATGGTGCAGAGATTGTAATTTCTGGAGGCATGTCGATTCCGAAGATTTTGACTATTGTTGATGCACCATCCCTACTTTCTCCTAGAGTTGGGAAATTTGCAATACCGCAACTTTAGTAACAAGATCTGTAATTGTCGACAGTTGAAACTCCCGATGTCTCTACCATCGAATAGAATTTATAGGACTGTTAGCATGATTAAGTTGCATACTAGAAAAGCTTGGAGTGTTGGTCTTCAATCCATAGGGATCTTATCTTCGAGTCCAGGTATTTTGATCTGTTTGTCTTCCTCTGTAGTTTTTCAAAATTATTCAGTTGGGCTGTTAGCTAGTTCTCTCAATTGCTCCTTTCTTATGTACAACAATGAGGTCAAATTTTGTGCTTAAAAGGACATTTTGACGATGAAAAAATTACCACATGGTACTCAAATGTTTTCACATGTTATCATATATCTAACATTTTTTAAATATAACGATTCTAACAATCATAGAAAATTTCACCCTTACAATCACACATTTTCACATAAGCAATTTTGGCTCTCCGTGATGGACAAAAGACAATGTAGGCATAAAAATTTGTGTATAACGATATGGGTAAATTTCATTCAAGGTAACTATAATTTGGTTTGATTTCAATCAGGTAAATGTACTTTAATTTTGTTCATTTCGTAATTAAGTTTTATTTTGATTTCTTTCAAGGTAACTCCGTCCACCTCTTTTAATTAGAGCAACGAAATTTAACTGAACTTTATTCGTTTTTCCCGAGTGTGGTCAACAAAGGCTCTTTTTTTATGTTATTAATATTTTCGTTTAAATTTTTTTTTTTTCTAAAAAATTTTAAAATTTCATCTTTTTGCCACTAAATTCGGTCTAAAAAACTCTTTTATATTTTTGTGTTTCTTATCTCTATCAATTTATAACTTTGAGGGTTGCTCAATTGGTCATACCTTGAGTTTGTTCTCCAATGATCACCAGTTCGAGTTTCCTTGGGACCATTGAGGTGAGTATCCGATCGTAAACTTTAGGACCCCGTGGAACTAGTCGAGGTGCGCGCAAGTTAGTCCGGACATATACGGTTATCAAATAAAAAAAAAATCTTTATCAATTTATATTTTTTGATAAGAGATGATGAGTAGAATTTTTTATCAACTGGGGACACATCTTGTAAATTTATCTTATATACATGATCCGCACAAATATTGATAAATACGCACCAATATTCCGTTTGATCCTCGTTTTTTTAAACTTATTATCAATCATACATTTTCTCAATAAAATATTTTTTTATTTGATCTCAAAAAAAAAAAAAATTTACTTCTAAAGTTTAAATCATACATTCTTCAAAAACTCATTTTTTGAAAAAAAAAGATCTATTCTAAAAATAATCTCTACAAACCAGGAAATAATATAATTGATCAATTGATTTCATCTTAAGTATTGTGTCTGTTTATTATTTAATTCTATTTTATGATTTTGAAGACATATACCTCTATATTATTACAACCACATAACTCTGAAAATTCGAAATTTAAAGACTCGAAGGTCAAATTCATGCAGCACCAGTGCGTAGCTATGGGAGCGACTACATATTGCAACATTTTTTTTTAAATCGAATTTATACAGATCGAGATAGACTTGTAAATGTAACTCTTAGTCAGGTGGCTGATTCGCTTCTCGATCCTATCCATCTTTTTTTGCCTCAATCTTAAAAGTAATTATAAACAAAATATATATATCTTCTATATATTAAAAGTGGCTATGTAATGGAATTACTTGTTTTTAACGGAAAAACTAACGGAATTTGTTGTTTTAACGGACTATGCAATGGAATTTCTTTTTTTTAAATAGGCAGCTGCACCTTCTTTCAGTGTTTTTATCATAACTTTGTATTCTGATATTCGATTGAGGTGATTTAAAATATCGCACGGACAAAAACTAGTAATATCTAAAAAAACAATTAAAACAACCAATTAGGTGAAATTTTGGCACTAGTGAGGTAATTCTGCAGATATTTTGTCCAAGATGCGGAAATATCATGTCTTGATAACTTACAGAGTCCTCGTTTGGTAGATATTAAAATACAAATTTTAATCCGAATTAAAATCGACAATCAATTTTAATCACATATTTTATGGATTGATTTTAATTCCCACCAAACAAGGGCATAATGTAACTTCAAATTATATGTTAATTTTAATAATTGATGACCAATCATGAAATGACTAATAACCAAAAAGAACGACATGGCAATACAAATACTGTAATTATTTGTTTAAAATATATATAAACTTAGTGTGCATTTGATTGCCAATATTTTCATGAAAAACGAGTCTTTTTCACCTCTTTTTTTTTTTTTTTTTTGCTGTTTGATTGAGAATTTTTTTCATGAAAAATATATTCTTACTTTTGGTCACGTGACTATATTTTCCTCGAAAACAAGGAAAATATTTTATTTAGAGATATGTGATTTTATTTTTCAGGTAATTCACTATCTCTTTCTTTCTATCATCTACCCACCAATAAAAGATGGACAGATGTAATATTTTTTAGGTTGAACATTAAATCAATCAAACATTTAATTAATAATTTACATACAAATAACTTTTAGACAATTGAATTACCTAAAATTTATTTTTTCAATACAAATTTCATACTTGCAATTAAACATACATAAGTGGAAAACAGTGAAATTTGTGCAAATGGTGACTTATGAGATTCCTGTACAAATGGTCCTTAACCTCGAAATGTTGGACTCGGAGCAAGCAATTGTAACTTTCCACTTAATGGGTGAAATTGATCATTTTGGATGGTATTCATCCAAGTCAACGTTCAAAAGGCCATATTATTATATGTGATAATAATATTAAATTGTATTTAGTCCTATTTGATAATTATTATTCAAAAACTCATTTTTCTACGCTCACTTTCAACCACAAATTTACACATTAAAATATTATTCACGTAAACCTAAGATTTTCCATATCTCGTAACCACACATTTTCCTAAAAATCACTATTCAAAATATTATTTTCGCAAATAATAGCCATCAAACAATGACTTAACGTCAATTAAATAAAGGGGAAATTACAGTAAGTGTCTCTAACCTTTTTCAATTTTTGTAGACTTTATCTCAATCTTCAATTTGTGTCAACAAATATCCATAACCTTTCAAAAACATGCAGTAGAAGTCTAATTGGATGGAACCCGTCAATTTGACCGTTTGTTGATTAAAGAATTAATTTTGACCACAATTTTGATTAATTTTAAAAGGACAAAGGGCAACCTTACATTATTTTACATAAACAAAACCAAAGAAGTAAAAGAAATCCACCCCACCCACACTTATGAAAATTAAAAGGCAAATGGTCTTCAACACTTTCTTCTTCCCCAACTCCTACCCACACCAGTGGCGCCTAAAGGCCGACCGTCACTAGCACCAAAATGCTAACACTGTTTCTCAAAGATAGTCGTCGCCACTCAAAGGCCAATGGGTAGAATGTGAAAACAGAAATGCTAATGTGTAGAATATGAAATCAAAATTGGAGGAATTTATGACACGATTAGATCAATTGAGGTTATACCCATCGTCGTTTGATGTTGCTGAGGGATGTGGGTTGAATGTGAAAACATAAAGGCCGATGTGTAGAATATGAAACCAAAATTGGAGCAATTTGTGACACTGTTGGATCAATTGAAGGTATACCTATCATTGTTCGGTGTTGCTGAGGGATTGCAGGTTGAATTTGGTGGAAAAGAAGCTCCAGCTTCATCAATTGGAAGATGCAGAATTTACCTAATTAGCAAGTGATTCAAGGCATGATTACAATCCAAAATTGGGTCTATTAAGGGCATCAACTAAAGCAATTGAGGGTATACAAGTGGTCGTATGATGCTGCTAACGATTCGTGTGTTGCTAATTTTATGAAAAACCATTCCCAAACTTGTTAATTGAAGAAGATTGAACTGCCACATTTTGCTGTCGAGGCAGATCTTTATTAAACTGAGATTTTTTGGATGATATCTCACCATGAATTGGAGCACCTGGGGAGGCGAATCGGATGGCAGAGATGCACGACCATGGGTGTCATCGGAGTTGTCAAATTTTGTTGTTGGACCACGTTATTCCCATGGCTTTTAAGGGGTGATTTAGATAAACACATGATGTTGTTTATCCATTTAATCGTGTGAGATGTGCTTATGGAATGAGGTCGTCGGTCAGGGGATGAAATTCTGGCGAATTAGGTCGTCAGCGGCTGCTAGTTTTTTTTTTTTTTTGTAGAGTGAGGTGGGCGAGGGTGGAAGATGAAGATTTTTTTTTTTTTGATTTCATAATTTAATTTCTAACTTATTTTAGGGATAATATGTGAAATTACCATTTTGCCCTTTTAATGTGTTCAAAATTGATCAAAATTCGATTTTTTTGGTCAACTAAAAGTCAAATGGATGCTTTCCATCAAATTGGACCTCTATTGCATATTTTTGAAATGTTAGGGACCTTCCCTGATACAAATTGAAGGTTATAGTAAAGTTTATAAAAATTAAAAAGATTAGGGACCGTCGCTACAATTTCTTTAAATAAATATAATGGTAAAATAATAAAGGTTAAAAAATATGACAAAAGGGAAGTAAGCTCATCCTACCAACCAATCCCCATAAGAGCATTCAAATGCAATTGCATCTTGTTTAGAAATTGTGACATATAAGTAAAATAAAATGTGTTAAAAGAGTTCATCTTCAGTGTCCGTTAATTAGAACTCCGTCAACATTATGTTGCAAAGAAAAATGGATATTGTTTAGAGTTCTATTCAGATTTAGAAGTTTCATTAGGCATGTGCCAACTCATCAAAATTTATATATCATTTGTAAATTTAAACGTAGTTTTCTTATTATTTTAATAAAATAAGAAAATGTGCTGAAGATTAATTTTAAACCATTGTATTTACTTGTTAGACATCAATTGTGTAGGTAAAAGTCTTTAAAGTTAAAATTGTCATATTGAGTGGAAGGTTAAAATTGTTTTGGTCAAGATTTGAAGATTAGAGACCATTTGGATAGCAACCTTATAGGTTATGGACAATTTTCAACAATTTCCATTCTTTCATTTTGCTAAAATTTTACTTTTCAACTAAGTCCCCGAGTCCCATTTTATTAAAAACTTGTTTTCAACAACACATGTTTTAATGAAATGATTTTATGCATAAATCGAAATTTTTTCTTTTAGCCACACATTCTCAAATAAACACAATTTCCCCCCGAGTGGGTCTCAAACAAGGATTAAGCATTTGTTTCATGAACATTAAAGTCAGATTTTTAGTAAATTTTGTTAAAAGTTAATGAAATGTATAATTAAAAAATTATGAATGACATTTTTTCAAATTAATTATAAAATTTTATCCGCACCAAATCAATTTTTTTTTTTTTGATTTCATAATTTAATTTCTAACTTATTTTAGGGATAATATGTGAAATTACCATTTTGCCCTTTTAATGTGTTCAAAATTGATCAAAATTCGATTTTTTTGGTCAACTAAAGGTCAAATGGATGGTTTCCATCCAATTGGACCTCTATTGCATATTTTTGAAATGTTAGGGACCTTACCTGGTACAAATTGAAGGTTAGAGTAAAGTTTATAAAAATTAAAAAGATTAGGGACCGTCGCTACAATTTCCTTAAATAAATATAATGGTAAAATAATAAAGGTTAAAAAATATGACAAAAGGGAAGTAAGCTCATCCTACCAACCAATCCCTATAAGAGCATTCAAATGCAATTGCGTCTTGTTTAGAAATTGTGACATATAAGTAAAATAAAATGTGTTAAAGATTTCATCTTCAATGTCCGTTAATTAGAACTCCGTCAAGATTACATGGCAAAGAAAAATGGATATTGTTTAGAGTTCTATTCAGATTTAGAAGTTTCGTTAGGCATGTGCCAACTCATCAAAAATTATATATTTGTAAATTTAAACGTAGTTTTCTTATTATTTTAATAAAATAAGAAAATGCGCTGAAGATTAATTTTAAACCATTGTATTTACTTGTTAGAGATCAATTGTGTAGGTAAAAGTCTTTAAAGTTAAAATTGTCATATTGAGTGGAAGTTTAAAATTGTTTTGGTCAAGATTTGAAGATTAGAGACCATTTGGATAGCAACCTTATAGGTTATGGACAATTTTCATCAATTTCCATTCTTTTATTTTGCTAAAATTTTACAATTTTCATCAATTTCCATTCTTTCATTTTGCTAAAATTTTACTTTTCAAAATAAAAATTCGTATTACTAAGTCCTCGAGTCCCATTTTATTAAAAACTTGTTTTCAACAACACATGTTTTAATGAAATGATTTTATGCATTAATCGAAATTTTTTCTTTTAGCCACACATTCTCAAATAAACACAATTTCCCCCCGAGTGGGTCTCAAACAAGGATTAAGCATTTGTTTCATGAACATTAAAGTCAGATTTTTAGTAAGTTTTGTTAAAAGTTAATGAAATGTATAATGAAATGGGGGGCAAATGACAATATTGCCCCAACTCATTTGAAAATGGGCGTGGAATTGCACAGTGACAGAGGGTATGTTTGTCATTGTATTGCCAACTGTTGTTTTGGACAGGGAGTTGCCTCACACGTGAGTGTCAGACACTTGCTTGGAAATACGTGAAAATGAAATTTAATGGGGAAAAAGGGGGGCCAAACAGGGGCATAAAATTTTATCCGCACCAAATCAATTTTTATAAGAAACAGATAAACTTGTGAATCGGCGAGTTAGAACCGAGTCAAATCATTAACAGTCCAACTCGTCTTCATAAATAAACACCATAGAAGCCCCAAATTCCAAAACCCTTCCGGTCATTCAGCACAGATTTCGATGCCGCTTTAAGCCACTGCTGTCGGAATTCTAGAAAATACTCAGAATTCAGTATAAAAACGCGAGTGCGTAATCTTCACCGTCCGATCATCGATCAGTTCTCTTTCTTCGGGATCCCCGAGGCGGCAACTCAGATCGATGGGAGACTACAACGACGCCTTACTACGCAACCCAAACTCCGCCGTCCAGGCCCGTGCCAAGGCTCAGAATCGTAACAATGTTATGCAACTCAAGCTTGTACGGATTCTAACGTCCTGGCTTTTTTTTTTGTTTATTTGTCTGCTTAATTTTTCAGTTGTCAATTACTTGAAATCGTGAGAATATATTTGAATTGAGCCTGTATTTCTATGGGTTCAATCGGAGTCGAGGTACTGTTAATTGCTTCAGGGTTTCAATTTGGACGTGCGATGACGTCATAGACGGGTTATTATTGTTTTTTACTGTGTGAATTGATGCCTTGATTTTAATTTTATATTTAGCTTTTCATTTATATATATGTTGTCTAGACATTTGGTGATTTTGGATAAAGCTCAATGAATTGACGGAGTTATATTTTGTTTTTAACTTGAAGTCATATTCTCTGCCGCTAAGAACACTGTCAGTGGGGATGGTGTAAAGGACTTTGACGTTGGTATGTAGTTATGCTTAGTGGTCGAGACGATACACGAATGACTAAAAATGATTAACATTGTTGGGTGTTAATAGCTTCTTTTTTAACTTATGCAGCAAAATTGGGTTTGTTTGATGTGAATAAAATGGCTGAGTCGATATTCGATTGCTTTAACAATTTTTTTTCTGTTATAGAAACATATTTGTGACTTAGAACCTATCCTTTGAGCTATTTCCGTATGTGGATAAGACTTTTTGTTTATTTATATATGCAGATTGGTCAAAGTCACCCCACTGGATTGACGCCAAATCTACTGAAACTATTTGAGCCCAGGCCCCCTTTGGAATATAAGCCAGCACCAGAGAAAAGGAAATGCCCCCCATATACGGGTCTGTTGTTGCTTTAAGCTTGCTGAAGATTTCAACTAAGTTGGAATATGTCAACTTTAACATATATTTACAGGATTTATTTTTGCCTGACAGGTATGGCACATTTTGTTAGTAACTTTGCCGAGCCTGGTGATCCACAATATGCTCCACCTGTCCAGGAGGCTGAGATTCCTGTAAGATTTTTCTGACATAAACCTCATGTACTTTTTATTTTCACATAAAGGTTAAGATATGCTTCTGTGGTGAAGGTTTTCCTTCTGAGTGGGTGTCTTTGCATATACAGGATGAAGGTCTATTTGTGCTTTATCTGCACAAGCTGGATAAAACTTGTTTTATTTGTCCTTTTTTTTTAATTAAGTAACTTGATTGTCCTTATTCCATGTACAGAAGGATTTTTTTTTTTAATTTACATGAATATTACTTTTGAGTAATGCTATTTAATACCACTATGTTTGACTAGGTGACGGCTGCATGACATTAAATGGTAGATTCACTTAAATGCATGCCACACGATTCATTTAATTGAACCTATCTAGTATGACCACCCAGTTCTAGCACCGCTAGTGCTAGATAGCACTGTTCTATCACTTTTTGTGTTGTAGCTATAAATTAAGGTTTAATAAATTTTATCATCTAAAGTGACTTTGATGCAACAGCTCATGACTTCATGGTATAGATAACTTTGCATGGAAGCTATATTTCTGGAGACTTTCTGGGAGCTTATTGTTAGTTGGCATAATATGATTTATATCAGCAATATTGATGCAGTAATATTAGGCCCCCGTTTGAGCCCCATTTTTTCTCACTCCATTACATTAATTTTTTCTCACATTCTCAAATAAAATAATATTACACACAAATCTAAAACTTTTCCACCACACATTTTCCTATCAATCACTATTCTACAAATTTTCAACCCAAAAAATGTGGCCAAACAGGGGCTAGGTAAAAATGCTGTCATTGTTTTGTTGGAAAATGAAGCTGACTAATGATGTTGTGACACTTTTACTTTGTGGAGATGAGAATTTCTCTTATGCATTGTGATAACCAGTTATTGTAGTTGATGTCAATATGGGTAAGTACGCAAATAACCCACACGCCCTTGCATTTTTGTGGTGGTAGTTTGCTAGGAAGTGCCACATTCATTCTGTTATTTTAATAACATACATCTGGGCTTATGCGCATAATTATATTCTTTTGGTATATTCAGGCGCAAAGAAAAGCCAGGATACACAAGATACGGCTAGAGGAGGGTGCAAGAAAGGCTGCTGAGGAGCTGGAGAAATGTGATTTGAGGCTTTCTATCTTCTATGTTTACCAATACTAAGAAAAGATCAAATAATTTTGATTTTCTTGGATTTAACTATCGTGTCTTATTATTTTCCATTTTGTGCAGATGATCCAAACAGTGATCCAAACATTTCTGGAGATCCATACAAAACGTTGTTTGTCGCTAGACTTGTGAGTAATATTTTCCTTTGAAATTAGAATCTTAGTTACTGTTTATTACTTCCATTGGTTGACTTGATATGTTATCTTTGCAGAATTATGAGTCAACAGAGAGCAGAATCAAAAGGGAGTTTGAGGCTTATGGGCCTATCAAGCGGGTAGGTATTATAGAGCAACCCAATATGGGGCTCAGGTTATATTGGCTTCTGGTTCGGTAAGAGTTTCACATGTGGTGGTTGTTTCCATCCTCCTTTTCGTCTTTTCATGGAAATATGTTTCATTATTTTTTATTTTTGCATTTTAAAAATAGTGAAAAGAAAAGACGAACTAAAAATTGAGTTTATGATTTTAATAGTTTTGATATAATGATTTCAATAATCCTACATTCTAGCAACATATGAGACGGTCATTTTTTTTCTGCATTACCCGATAATATATAGGTCGCGTCCTCTTTCCGAGAATTGAGATGTTCATTAATTGTATTATGTTATACATCTAGTCTGACTGTTCGCACAAAAATGTTTTCAGCAATATTTTAAAATTGTACATTTAGCATTGCTTGTCATTCACGGTGTACCGTGTACTTGGGCATTTTTAGCATGTTAGGATAACCAGCAATTGAATAAAAGTTGAATGGTCTAATCAAGATTGGAATTATTTCCAGGTATTATTTGGTGTCACTGAATGCGGTTAGGTTTGTTTCACTTATCCTTTTCTATCGCTTCTGAATTTCTTGGACTCAGAATCCTCTTTAGGACTAGGTACTTTATATAGTTTCTAGGTACTGATCCCCGCCGTAGGGTTGGAAATGTAAGTATTATCCTGGGTAAGAGAGAAAAAAAAATCTTCCCGTGTTGGCTCTTGGTTCATTGATTTTCTCCAATGGAACCATTCCAGTTGAAAAGATGGTGCTTCATCCTACCAAATCTGAAAACGTAAATTTACGAAGAGCAGTGATCTATATTTGCCTTTTGGCCATTATTTCAAGCAACCTGGAGAGGGGCAACTTTTCCTGCACTAGGTAAAATGTGACGGAGTATTAGCATCTCTCTCTCTTTTTTACTTTTAGTACATCTTTCCTGCTACTAAAGTTCTACTTTTGGATTTAAAGGCTACCAAAAATGGTTCATCCATTTGGAAGGTATCTCGGTATTGACAAGCTATTTATAGTTAATTTATTATTATATTAAAAACTTCCCTGGTAAGGGGACATTAGTATATATCGCAACTGGTAAAATGGCACATGGTTTTTGCAACTCTAGCTGTGACAGTGATGCATCTCGCCTGGGAAGCTGTATGATTGAAAGGTGAGCACGGCTAATTAGGCGTAGTGCCTGGCTGCCGTGCCGATAGGCTTTTATTATACTAGTAGAAGTATGAAATTGAAAACAATTATATAAACGTGCTCTTTTGCTGCGCAGAGGCCCTGCTTCTGTAATTGTATCTTACCGGCTTCTCCAATGAGTTTCAGGTTCGTTTGGTTACAGATAAAGAGACAAATAAGCCTAGAGGTTATGCCTTCATCGAGTACATGCATACACGTGATATGAAAGGTGTCCTCTTTTCTTCTTATGGACTTCTTCATTTCCTTTTGTTTCCCAGTTCTAGAACTAATTATTGTAATTTGTGCTTGTATCTATGCAGCTGCATACAAACAAGCTGATGGGAAGAAGATTGATAACAGAAGGGTTCTTGTGGATGTTGAACGTGGAAGAACTGTTCCTAATTGGCGACCTCGCAGGCTTGGTGGTGGGCTGGGAACAACTCGGGTTGGAGGTGAAGAAGTTAACCAAAGGTACATAGGGAGTTAATCACCATAATTGTCACACATTTGGACTTATATTGCATAACTATATTCATAAGTTCATTTTGATTCTTTTATCATAATGCTATACATAAATACGAGAGAGAATGACATAGACGTACAAATATTTCCATTTGAATTGTGAAAGCTGTGATATTTTCTATTTGACTTGGGTTTATGTGAATTCTAATATCAACCCACAATGTGACCTACATCGAGGGTCCATGTCAAAATTGTGTTCAATTTTTAGAAAATTCAGTTGAAATATGAACCTAGCATGTGCGTAACATCATTTTAGTCTTCTGTTCTATTTCTACTTTCATTTTGCCTCAACGTACTTTTCCTTTTCTTTTCTACCTTTCCATTCTGTTGTTTTATGGCCTTATGTATTTTTTCACACATAATATTCAGATCTTTCTTAGGGAGCAAAAATGCTGTAATGTGTCTATTGCTATGTCACTAATCATGGTTCAAAGATTTTCATTTCCTCGGTATGGTTTTCAAATTAATGATGTGAAATACTTGGGTCTTGATTTTGGCCACCTGTAGGGTCTGTAAGTAATCAATGCAACTGATTATGTGCTTGGAGAGAAAGGAGTTTGAGATATTTGGTTCTGGCCTTGATATGAGGGTAAAGGCAATAAGTATTCATAATGGAAATGTTATTCACATGAATTAAGTGCTTTTGTGTTCCACTGTTTATTTTATGACAACAAAGTGGGAAATTCTAACCCTGAATATAGATTGAGAAAATAAACAAAAAAATATTCTCCAGGGATTGTCACTGCCTTCAGGTTATGTTTGTCCATTTCCTAGACAGGGAAATTCAGTGGAGGTTGGTTTTAATACAAAGGCGAGTAACAAGATGGGATAGAACATCACGAGTAACAATATGGGATAGAATTTCATATTACGTAAAAATGTAGGCAAGGGAGAAACGTCATCTCATTTTCCATGGGACGATGTAGAGTTTGAGATGCATTAAGAGGAGTGCCAGTGGCATCTCGTTTTCATAATAGGCGATCAGCTAAATTTTTACCTGTTATGTGCTCCACTAGAAAGATGTATAAATATGTTTGGTTAGTTGTATATTATCAAAGGCTGTGATCTGTGATCCCTTGGGTATTTCCCACTATGCATATTTTTCAAGGTGCTCCTCTGTTTCCTGATTCTAGGTGAAAATGCTGCTTATGTGCAATGAAATCTCAAACACCAATAACCTTGAGGGGTTGCTCAATTGGTCAAGCCTTGGGTTTGCTCCCTAATGGTCACCAGTTCGAGTCCCCTTAGGGTCACTGAGGTGAGTACCCAACTGTAAACTTTAAGGCCCCGTGGGATTAGTCGAGGTGCGCGTAAACTGGCCCGGACATTCACGGTTAAAAAAAAAAAAAAATCTCAAACACCAATAATAAAAAATTGAGCCTTATTCCCAATAGATTTGCAGCAAAGAAAATTCCGAACACCACATTAAAATTAAAAGAGTTACTCGTGTTGTATGGTGTTTGCTTTCCATTTTATGTGTTCAGCTCCAAGTACACATGGTTTCTAGGGTTTATGATATCTTTCCTTGTTGCCTGTTGTTTAGGTCTCTTCATTTGCTGAATGAATGTTGTGTTGTACTTTATTGTATCTGCTTGTCCAAATCTGACTGGCTTTTTTTGTGGATTTAATACTTGATGTTGATGCCTTGTACGAAATTAATCCTTGAGATGCCTTTGTCTGTTCTTTATAGTTGTGTATAGTAATTGAGCTTGGCATCCCATTTTATGTGCTCCAATTGCTAAATGCCTCTACATTTTATGTGATTAAATACCCTTTCATTTTGGAACGTTATACATCCTTACATTATTTTATCCATCAATTGGACAGAGAGCAATTACAGTCTAGAGGAACATCTAGGTCTGAGGAGCCAAGGATACGAGATGAACGAGACAGGTAACTTTTGTCTATTCCACACTTATTTTACTGCTTGTATTGGCTGTGGTTAATATTTTTTTCCTAACTTCTATACTTGTCCAATGAAATGAAAGTTCCGAAAGTGTTGTGGGTGGTTCCATCATATAAACTAAGTAATCAAAAGTGATCTATCTTCTTTCAGGCATGTTATGTCTTGCTTTTTAATGACTGTAAAATATAAGGAAAAATTAAGATAGATGATACGAAACTCTTTAAATATCTTTGTCATGGAATCTTCTCATGTTCTCATCTTCTAATGAATAGAAAGAGGATATGGATTTTATCATTTTAGTCATGCATGCATGCATGCATGCATCTTATAAATCTTATTGTTGATGACTGATGCACGAATTTTCAGGGATAGGGAGAAATCCCGTGAAAGGGGAAGGGACGGAGAAAAATCCCGTGAAAGGTCTCGTGAGCTCTCTCATGACAAACCAAGGGATCGTGATCATAGAGATGATCGGCATCACAGAGATCGCGATAGGAACAGGGACAGAGACAGAGATAGAGACAGGGAGAGAGATCATGGTCGTGATCGGGACCGTGATCGGGAGAGAACACGAGACCGAGAGCGTGGTCGAGACCGAGGTCGTGATCGTGACCGTGATCGTCATCGTGAGAAGGAGAGGGACAGAGACAGGGATTATGAAGATGGTGATGACCACGATAGAGGGCGTTCCCGTGATATAGATTATGATTACGATCACGCTGATTCAAAACATGAGCGAGACCGTGAAGAGAGAGAGAGAAACTATGACCGCATAGAAACAGAAGATGACCGTGGGTGGCACGAACAGACTGAATATGGATATGGACACCCAAAACTAGAAGCTGGTCTTGACCATGGGCACTATGACCACTTTGAACACCAAGGTCGAGGACACTATGACAATCCAGAAGCCCCGGGGGTTTATGACCGCTATAAAGAAGCTGACCATGATCAAATGGATGAGGATGTTTATCATTATGATAGAGATACATCTGCACCACAAGAAAGGGACCGTGATTACCGGCGTTGAGACGTACTGTCTCGTGGAGTAAGAATACTAAGTGTCGTCACAATCTCTGAACTTCCTATGCTTCATGGCAAGATCATGCATTTTTGCTTGTCTTTCTCAGTGCTATCCTATTCTCACTTTTGAGATTCCTTGCAGTCATATTTTCCTTGAAGACGGTACTTCCTGGAGTGAGATTGCTGGTGGTATGATCTAGTTAGAGGCTTGGAGGTCGTTTTCTTTATGTTTTAATAATGTTCCAAATGCTTATCTTTGTTATTAGACCAATCCCTGTGCTCGAAAACATAATGCTCCCAGTTTGCTTGGTGTTGGCTTGTGTTCAATGTTCTATTACTGAAGTTTGAAGTGGGTCTGGTAGGCGTCTGCCTAATTTCCTGTATTTGTTTAAATGACATGATTTTGGACTATTTAACTAGCTTGGTTGTCAAGTGCTTGATTTGGCTACTTTAATTGTGATGTTGTGCATTTTCTTCTCCTGGTTAGCTGATTATGATTGATGCCAACTTAAATAGGGCAATCGAGAGGGAAATTTTTCTATTTTCTTCATTTGTGTGAGGGTTGTATTACTGCAATTAAAGTGCGACGCCAGTCACTTTTATTGATGGTTGTGAAGGAATGTTGGGGGATCAGTGTGACTGCATAAAAAATGTCTTGAGTGATTGCACGCTATTTTACTGATTTCTAGTAAACAAGCTTGTTAGCCGATGCCTTGTACAGTTATATGTAAAATAGCGTTCCATCTATTGTAGGGGTTATTTCATGAAAGGTCTCTCTTCTCCTGTCTATAGTAAAATGAGTATTTTGGTTTTTATTCTATACATATATATATATATATATATATATATAATTACATTCTATTTTCATGGTATATAAATCTTTATCCTAAAAAAGGGTTAGAATGTCACGTATCGCAATATTTAAACATTTTAATAAAGCAAGGAAATGGAACTTGTATTGCTCATCTGTGCAAATTCCCTTAAAGCCCTTCCCTTGCCGTTTCGCCTTCCATCTCATACTAGTTAGTTATGACTGTTATACATCTATGAAGGCCATTTTGTTGTTTTAATGATATATACTTCGAAAAATGGTATTAGTCATTTGTTAACTGATCTAATCAATCTCAATTTAATCACGACTGACTTTTTTCTCCCATCTTATCAAATATATACCAGGGAACACACCGGGAAAGGGGGGAGGGAAGGTAAAGCTGAGGGCACGAGGGCTGCGGTAGAGAGACAATGGAGGTGGGGTGGGGGGTAGCAGGGATTAAGGGGCCAGGGCAGTGAAGCGAATAAGATTTACGTGGAGAAGTACAATTTCCTCGAATGGGATGAAGATTCTAACCTAAACCATGAGAGTTGAATATTCAAGACTTGTCTTTCACTCGGATGAATCTCATAATGTTTTTGTTTTTTCAACAAATCGTACACTATGCATATGCTTAGTTAACCAGAATCAGAGCACTCGGTGCGTGAAATATATATTTTAACGATGGGATGGATAAATCGGATGTTACGTAAATACTCTTGGAACGAATTCGAATTTCTGCACAATGACGAAACTTTACCTATATGTAAGCCGCGTTACTATCGGGATGGTAAAAGAGCAAGCAAAACCTAAAAAGCAAATGTACAGGGAAAAGTTTCTTTATCAAATTGCTACTAAATTGATACACCGAGATAAAAAAAAACATCACATAGTACTAGGCATTTGTCCATGTTTGAATCAGAAACTTCAGCATAGCTATATTCTACCCAGACAAGTTCATTTGGGAAGATAACTTGGACCTACAAGAATGTTACAAGTCCATATCTCCAGGGGTAACAAGTGGCTTCACTGAGGAAGTCCTCGACTTCAACAAGTATAGATTAGAGGCTGACAAGGCTATTTACATAAGGTATGTATCTTGTGTCACGACCTGCAGATGCAATGCCCAGTGCTTTAGTTTCCTTTGTCAGCAAGTCATAAACATATAGTCTTCTGGCCACCTGAACCAACAGCTTGTTGCCAGAAGCAGCAACCACAGCCAGTTCAGATACAGCCCCGCCAACCACTTCCTTGTCGAGAACTACTCTTTGTTTCTCCGCCCACATCCTGGCATGGCTGCTCATTTGCATGGTATTACTGTGGGCATTAGCCAATACTTGAACCGCTATCGCCTGCCCATTAGGATAAGCTGAGCAAAGCTTTCCATTCATCGCTCCCAAAACACCATTTCCAAATTGATAGTCTTGGAGCATTTGTGATCTATCCTTTGTCAGATCATAAGCTAGAAGACCCCTGGATTTCCAGTAAACGACCCCATTCACATGAACCCCTGATTTTGTTTGCACAGAATATGAAGTAAAAGAAATCTCTCCTGAAACTTTCCAGGATCCTTCTTTAGAGGAGTATATCTCAAATTCAGTGGCATCATCAAAGTCGGCAGATGGAAAGGCACAAACAAGCTTATAATCGGCCTCAAAGTTAAGCCGAGATGGTTCATATATGAGCACAACTGAAGGCTGTAATCCATGATTAGCATTTGGTTCTGGAAGTTTCTTCCACTGCTGGGTCACAGGATTGCAAATGTAGTAGGCTTTACTCCCAGTTTGAGAATGGCAGCAAATCAGTCCATTGGATGCTGACACAATGTCGACTGGTTCAGGCAAAAATTTCAGAGAGGGGTCCGGTACACCACAAGCTTTAGGGTCGTCGGAGACAAGTGATGGTGGTTCTCCAGATACCTGCCTAAAGAAACCTAAGGTCGAAACACAACAAATTGATTGATTATGGGCAAAGAATGGAGTCGATATCTGAAGTTTCCAGTCTCTACAAACACTCATAAACCTGAAAAGTGATTTTGCAGGTAGGAAAGGAAGGGCATGTGCCCTTATAATTTCGCTGAGATCCATATACATCGTGTTGTTCAGCATACCAAGGAATTTGCCTGGCCTTTTTCCACGATCCATTTTGTAATTAGATAAGTCCTCCTTGTTACTGCAGCCACAAACAAAATTTCATACAGCAGGAAATTAATGAACCATGGTGTAGACAGAAATCACAATAAATGAAACAAGTCCTTTGTAGTTTGCGCTTCCTGTCAGCTATATTTTAAGAAATGGTATTTAGATGAATGCGTGATCATAAAAGAATAAATATTGGATATACACAAACATGAAGAGGTGGCAATAACTGAACATAAATTCAGGGAAGGATGAGTTAGATGCTTCGAGCATATCTTGCGTGTACTTAAAGAAACTCCAATTCACAGAAATGTGATCCAAGTAGAATAGGTTAGAAGAGGACTAGGTCCACTAAATTAATGACTCCATTTAGTTCAAAATTATTTGATTTCTGTAAACTTTCAGGGTTGTAGTGCGAGAATGAACGGAGTGTCCAATAAAGATTTACATATCCGAACCAAGATTATTGACAACAAGGCTTATCTTATTGTATCTTGTTGACAAGTATCACGAATCATCAAATATGAATCCATTATCTGCTACTATGCTGGACATAGCTACATCGGACAACACACCAAAAACATCTCTAGTGATTTCTAAATAAGTTAATATATTTCATAACACTAATAAAGCACCTTGTTACATTTTTTATAAATTATTTAATGGATTTTTGTTGAGATTTAGTGATTTATAGATCAAGAAATACCTTTCACGTGGCGAGCAAGTTGGGTTCTTAGCCAAGCACCCATTCATGCGGTACTTATTGAGCCGTTATAAACACTGGTGATTGGACATGTGGGCATTTATCGACATGAAAAAAGGATTAGAGCATGTTTGCCATGCTTAAAAGTCAAACTTACATTTTAGTTACTTATTTGGTCAAACATAATTTCCCAAGGCATGTTTCTTGAGGTTTAAAAAAGTTTTCCTGTAAGTGAAAATGTGGTTTTTAAAATAAATATTTTCCTTACTGATAAAAATATAAGCACAACCAAATACTGTATCTTCTGCTTATTTAATTTTTTGACGACATGCCTACTGCAAAACCCTTTTTCCCCTTGCTTTGGTGGGTTTGAATAGAAAAATCTTTCTTCCTGTAGGAAACAAAATTTCTCTACAATTCAATAAGAACCAAAGAATGCGTTAGACAATCCAAGGATACACGCAAAGAAAATATTAAAAAGAACCAACAAATACTAAACCCTAGGTCGAGCATCATATCAAATTCTGCACAGTGAGTATTCAAACAAGTAAACGTTGAACTAAAAATATAATCATTCACAAACATTCATAAAACAAAAAAGGCAGAAATCTTTGTACGCACACAATCATACAATACAAAATCCTAGCCTTCGTACTAAAAAAAAATGCATTATGAAAATTTGAAATATTTTGATTATTCATTGGGATTTAATACTGATAAGCGTCAAATTGATCGGATTAAAAGACACTTAAAAATATATGAGAAAAGATTCATACCTCATTGATTTCGATTATCGATCGAGACTCGAGGAAGAGGAAGAGGAAAGTCAAGCCATTGAAGAAATTTTTTTTATATTGGGGAATGGTAGATTTCTCTCTCTTTAGGCCTTGTTTAAACTGGTTATTTCCAAAATAAATTTTTTCCTTTGTCCAGCACATCCTTCGATAAAATAATATGACATCTCAATTCAATGTTTTTTAACTTTTCAGAATAATGCCATTTAGTTCCGTTAGGATTATAATCTCAATTTAGATAAAACAAAAATGCTTAATGTACAGTCAAAATTGTACAGCAATTTGAAAGCCCTCTCCATGTCAAAATTGATGTAAGTTTAACATTGTTCTAGATAAAATTAATGTGATACTAAATGATTTGTGAAATTAAACAAGTCATTTAATTACCTATTTCATTTAGTCAATTATCTAACGTCACCTAAATTGGATTGTAATTCAATTTCCATTGGAGATTCATAGCATTACTCTACTTTTTAATCACACATTCTCTATTAATATACTATTTTAAAATGCATTCTTACCTAAAAAATGGGCTAATATTTTCTCTGAATTTTGTCAATT